TTTTTTTTTTTTTTTTTTGAATACTATACCAATACTACCAATAATATATATGTTTTCATTTCCAAATTTGTTTTGCTATATATCTACTTATTTTAAACAATAATCAAGTATTTTCGTATACATATACCATAACATATTATATTATATTTAGTTAAAAATATTATTATATTTTCATATTATTATTTGCTCAAAATTCTGCCTTAACTCCATATGTATATATTTCAAGCAATAATCAAGTATATTTAGATATGCATGCATAAACATTAATCCTATTTTAATCGATTTCGAATTTACGTTACATTATTTTCGTCGACTACCATTTGTAAGAGATTAATTTTCTTTTAGGGCGCATCGCGAGCCTATCTCAAGCACAAATCTATTTATTTGCTTATGAAAATTGCTGTTGACTCTGCAACGTTGCAGCGAGAGCGTTAGTGGCAGCTGCAGCTGCCGTTTTGACAGCAGCTAAATAAGCTGCAAAAATAACAACAGCTACAGTAGCAACAATAAATAAACAAACAAACAACAATTTGGCTGCTGCTGCTGCTGTTGTTGCTGTTGCTGTTGCTGTGAGGCCAACGGGGCGTATGAAATTTGTTTTACGTGCGGCAAGCTTATTGAAATTATAATTTGTTTATTAACAGCAGGCGGCGTGGGCGTGGGCGTGGGCGTGGGCGTGGGCGTGGCAGCCGCTTAAATAAAACTGTCAAAGCAATTTGCAGCGTTAATTTTCAACGCTGATTAGATTGCTGTCACTCCCAAAAGTTTTTAATTATGTCGACATCTATATACATACCTGAATATATGTGTATATAGTGCCGAAAACTGTGAAATTTCGTGTCCTACCTAGTGGGGGTGGGGGGATACAGGTAGTGCCTAGTACGGCAGTTGTTGCTGTTGACTAAGTCACCACAGATAGGCAAAGGTTTCGCGGCACAAAACGAGCGAACTTTCGGCGTGCCACGCGGCGTATGCGTATTATGGCAACACATCTTTTTATGCGTGTTTTGCGGCAGTTGCGGAAATGCAGCAGGAAGTTGTCAAGCCGCATGCCGCAAAACAATGGCAGTAACAACTGATGCTGTTTCGCTCAAACAATCATTCTATCTCGCTCGCTCTCTCTCTCTCTCGCTGTCTCTCTCTCGCTGTCTATCTCCCGCTGTGGGCTGGCCTGTGTTAATTTTAATGCAGTCAAATGAGTTTGTCCTGGCTGCACACAAGATATGAAGTTTTTGGCTTGCCGCTGCCACACCCACATCCTGCCAGGCCTGCCGGCCTCCCACAGTGATATGAGTATTTTGTGCTGAGAGCGATTATGAGATTTTCGTATATCATATGTTATGTCTATCATCTAACTGCTCTTAGATGCGAATGTATCCGTGTGTGTGTGTGTGGCAATAAAATGCTTTACTGATTTGCAAACTTTTGTCATTAAGCACAACTGCCGCCACTTAGGCAGCGCAGCCCCTCCTCAGCCGTTAGTCAACAAATGATTTGATTATAGTTTAGAATTTCATGAATATTTGCCAAAACGTTGCATATCTTGGACTTTGTTTTATCAGTGCCAACAGCTCGCATTCGTCAAAAGTTTCATTCGGAATTCAATGAAAGGTTTTCGCACCGTACATTCATGGAGAAAATCCAAATGCATTTAAAATTGCTTTTAGTTCTCTTTGTAAATGGATAATAAAGCTAAATGCTTGCTTGCATTTATTTCTCCCATGGCAAGCGGAAAAAGAGGGAAAACAACGTTAATTGAATGGCTTTAATTAAATGGAAAATCCGACTACGCCTTGCAATTGCAACATTTCCGAGCAACTTTATAATCAAAGCAAATAACTATTGAATGCTGGCAAAGATTATTAATTGCCCAAATGAATGCGTTTCCTTGCACTTAAATCGAAATATATTTTCGCAAGCAAAATGAAATTTGAAATGCTTAACACTGACTCATTTCCTTAGGTATTTCGATTTAAAATAATAAAATATTCATTAAATAATATAAATAGATTTTTATAAAAAAAAAAAACTTTTCTTAAATCGAATTTTCC